CGCTCCGGTCCGATCCCCTCCCAACTTTGAGCGGGGCTCGGAGTCGCCTCTCCGAGGGACCCTGGCCGGGAACCTAGTCCTTCCCCGACCCTTTCCGGCCGGACGCCCCAGCGCTCCTGTCCACTCCGCGACACACCCTCCACCCGGCGAGCTGGCCCCGTACCCTCTCTCGACCCCACTTGGGCCACAACTCTGCCCCGTGCCTCACTGTCCCCACCCCGTGCGCTCGGCCCTGCCAGGAGGTGGCACTTTGGGCATCGGGGGTGCCGGGGTGGGGCCTAGACAGGGGGTTTGGCATGTGCAAGCAATTTCAGAGGCAATATTTCCTTCCCTGCCTCGGAGTTCAGATCTCTGCCTTCCCCTGGGACCGGCTGAGAGATCTCAAGCAGCCCACCTGCCAGGTGGAGGGCACCGCCACGCCTCCAGTTCGCAGGCGCCTGGGCCCTTCCGGGGCTCTGGAGGGCTCCCCCGGGCCTGCACTCCGGCAGGCCCTGGGGGTATCTGCAGGCCCTGACTGCTTTCTTCACACCCGCTTTCCAGGAAGGTGTGACTGGGACAGGTTCCTTCAAAGTGAGCGCTCAACAGGTACTGGAGGCCTGAGACACCCTCCTGGGGTGTTGTGGAAACGGAGCCTCCTGGTCTGGAGGATACTTGGGGCAGAAGAACTGTGTTCTCTTCCACTGGAACTTCTGGGAGCTTCTGTGTTCTCAGCAAGATTCTGGGTTTGCTGGGAGATGCCACGGGGCACCCAAGAAATCTAAGGGCCCAGAGAGCCTTTCCGCTGGGTGGAAATGATCTAAAGAGCTGCCTGGGGAGTCACGGTCAGGGGCCACAGCAGATAAAAGAAAAGTTAGAGTCGGTGAAGGGGCTCTGCGTAGGAGTTTTGAAATAAGGTGCACATATGGAGAGGAGCTCCATGGCAGGACCCAAAGTCAACAGAAGTAATACGTGGAAAGGGCCGCAGAAGGAAGACCTGAGGAGTAGTCATCAGCGAGCAGTAATCCGAAGGGAGCGTTGCACGCCTGCCTAGCATGTGCAGAGCCTGGGTTGGATCCCCAGCCCTGCAAAACAAAACAGAACACAAAAGATAAGCAAAGCGAGACCCTTGGGGACTTTGAAATAAGGCTCGAGTGCCTCCAGATAGGGCCCGATGAGCTGCAGAGGGGAGGTGCAGACATAGGTGCTCTTGGAACTCAGAGAAGGGAGCTCTTGGAGGGCGAGACCCTTGAGATGGGCGACAAAGTGGGAATGAGCCTGGCCTTGGCCAACTTGGATGTTTCCTGGACAGTAGGAGATAAAGATGGAGGAGATTGTGCAAGTCCTAGAAAACCAGACTGGGGAATTGCGTTTCACCCTGTGTGTGCCGGGAGACATTAAAAGTTTTGGGGCCGTGGAGTGCTCCAAGGAAGGAGTCAGTATTTGGAAAGGCTTCTGCAAGCAGTGGTAGGAGTTAGCGGGCTCTTGTCCTGGTGGAGCGCTCAGGGTTTGCACTGGATTTAGTTGGAAGTGGAAGAGAGAGTGACTTTAGAGACATTGCTGTTGACATAATCTGTTGACAGGGGCAGGGTGAAGGAAAGAGACAAATGGAAATTAATTCTTTGTGGAAATTGATTATACGCCAGGGCCTCGGAGCTGCTGTTGTTGGTAACTCGAGAAATCGGAAATGGGTGTTTTGCAGAGAAGTAATTGACACTCGGGCTGTGTAGAAGTTTCTGTGTTTGCCAGGATGTCCCGGTGTAGGTGTGGAGCCAGCAACTGCTGCTCTGAGCTTGGTGGGAACCTGGGGGGCAGAGTGTTAGAGAAGGCAAGGATTCAGGGGAAGGGGAGTCTTCGTGGTTGGAGAGGCAGCTGAATGTGAGTCTGGCTTGGGAGCGCTTTCATTTTGCCCTTTTATTGGTGGTAGAGGGGACAGGGTCCCATAGCTCAGGCTGGCCTGTTACTCACGATGGAGCCCAGGCTGGCCTTGAGCTGGTGTGGATCTTCCTGCCTCAGCCACCTGAGTGCTGGGATTGATTACAGGTGTGCACCCCTGCATCGGTTTCCCCTCTCGTGTTGTCATTCATGTGACCCTGCCTGGGCTTGACCCTGAAGCTGGAGAAACCGCTCTGGAGAATCAGGGCTTCTAGGAAACTGGGGGCATTTATTCTTCTAGGCACTAGAGTACAATTGGAGTTGGAGGGAAGCAGACTACAATTTGCGAAAGGTGTATATTGTTGGACTTTGAAGTGTGTTGAACTTTGGACTCCCCCAGGATCTTCAGCTTGTCCCAGCGTTTCACTCATGCAAGGAGAAGAGGGTGCCTTGAGGAGACCTGAGGAAGGAGGGTGGGGACTTGGGGCCCCAGAGTATGGACTTCTGTAGGGCTCTGTCCTTCCCAGCCCTGTGCAGTTGCCCATCCCAGGAGCCTGGCAACCTGACCCACACACCAAAGGGAGCAGGTGCTCTTTCCTGAGCTCTGAATTCTGCTCTCTTGTTGCATGGGAGACTGAGTGTGATTTGCGGAACAAACTCCCCAAGCCTCAACTTGCAACATCTGGATGCAAAGGGTGATTGCAGAAGGTTGCAGAATGAGCTGGGAATGTAATTAGTTACCTAGTCTCCTTGTTTCTCCCAGAGGCAGGGTGGTGAACTGGTAGGGGAAGAGGACTTGGGGGAGGAGACCTGAGGGGGTGTGGATCAAGTACTTTTTTCTTTATGGCAAGTGTCTGATTGCCTACAAAATAACTGGGCAGAGCAGTGGTTGAGCTGTGCAGTTTTTTGCGCTGTTCTGGCCATGACCTACGTTAAATACAATTGACATCATGACCCAGCACATACAATCATGTATGTAAAAATCTAATTTCATGCAGTACTACTTTCCCTTGCTTGGTGCCATCTTCAATGTTTTTATTGCTAATTATATTATTTTTCATTAAAAGTGCTATCTCTCAGCTGGGAATAGTGGTATAAGCTTGGGAGTGTGAGACAGGGTGATTTCAAGTTCAAGGCCAGCCTGGGCAGCCTAGTGAGATCCTGTCTAAAAAAACCAAACTATTGTCTCACTAAGTCTCTGTAGCTATTCTCTCACTACATGTGAAATAATGGATCGCAGTGCGTGAACAGTTTGAAAAGCACAGAGAGAATTCTCACATTCAGTGAGCATTTATTTAAGCCGTGCATGTGCAGAGACGCCCTTCCCAGTGCCCAAGGGATAGAAAGCATTTAATCTTGGCTGGAGATTGAAGGTACAGCTTGCATAAGGGAGCAGAGGAAGATGATTAAATGCCAGAAGTGAAAAACAAATGCCTGTAGTGTTGAAGAGGGTTCCTAAAATGTGCGGTGTGGCTAGGGAAAGCCCTCTGGAAGAAGGAAGTCTGGGGTGAGCAGTTCAGCTGTCTTCGGAACTGCATGGGAGAAAGAGCAGGTGTGCAAGGGCTTGGAGTTAGGAACAGACACAGTTTGCTTATGTGAGTGTGAGGAGCGCAGGACTTGTGACAGAGTAGCAAAAAGTTAGATTGGAAAGGTGGTTAAGTCATAGGAAGCACAGGGCTTATAAAGGGGTGACTTGCAGAATATTTTAAGTTTCTACGTATGTTGTTATAGTTTGGATAGCATAAAGGCTTTTAAAAATTGGGAATAGTCTAGAATCTCTTTGGGGCTCTTTAAAAGAGTTGGACCTGGCCCTCATTTCAAGCTGAGGGGTGGCTGTCACCTATGAAAAGGAGACAGGCCTACAGTTCCCCGTTGTCACCATCCCAGAGTCCTCTGCTGCCTGGGTCCCGTTGCTTTTTGGCCCTCAGTCTTCAAGAGACTTGGATGCCACGCCGGAGAACGTGCAGTCACAGGCCTGGGCGGCCCCTGGAGGATTCTGGCAGGAGCGCCATACTGTGGAACCTGAGGAGTCCAGCGCCATGGTCTGCTTTAGGCTAGCGAGCAACAGTTTCTGAGGAGCAGCTGGCTGGGGCTCAGAAGTATTTTTAGGGATGATCAGAATGGTGTATACAAGAGAGGGCTTTGCCCTGTATTCTGGAGAGAGAGGCAGATTTCTAGGGATCCTAAGTTCTCTCCTGCTTTCCGCTTCTGGCTCTCGTGGTCAGACGGCAGGTCTGAGGAAGACGCTGAGGTGGCAAGCTGGCGAGATGTGAGTCATGGCTGTCAGTTGCCTTGGGACATTAGGCTCTGAGGAGCTTTGGTTCTGTGAGCCCGAAAAGGAAAAACAAGGAGAAGGGGGAGCCATTTCTCTTTTGTCTCCTCACCCTGGGATGGCCCCAGGAGGAGGGGGTGCCCGATCGGGAGAGGTTCGTGGTGACCACAGAATAGCTGGCTCGAGCCCACACGATAATGCCAGTGACTGCAGAAGAGTAGACTTGTTTGGGGGCAGCTGAAGTGACAAGTCTCAATGGCCAAGGACACTCAGGCTTATCCAGGAGTCCATAACTACCCACAATTCATAGCTTCTCCCGGATGAGCTAGGGCTGACCAATAGTCTCTCTGCTTTTTACGGGTAGGACAAAATTCATTTAAAAGTACAGTGGACCCTTGGCTTATGAACTCATTTCATTCGTGAGGGCTGGTTGTAACTCAAGTTGGGCAATTGAAGGCTCAAGCTCCTCTTCACAGCCTTCAAAGTCTCTCTCCTGTACACAGGCAAATCTCAGTGGCCTTAGAGAGACATTGGCCCAGGATTTCTCAGTTAGTCCCACATAGGAAAGGATGCTGTCATGGTCCTTCTAGAACTCTTTAAGGGTTAAATCTGTATCTGAGACCATCTGGAAGCACAAACAGCCAGGATATAACTCAGGTCATAAGTTAAAACTAAATTTCCAGTTGTAATCCAAGTTGTTCATATGTCAGGCAGGCCATAACTCGAGGGTCCACTATATTGCTTTATATAACATTAAAACAAGTTAAAGTTGACATACCTTTTTCTTAAAAACATGTGGCCAGGGCTGGGGATTTAGCTCAGCGGTTTGGTGGCCTGCCTCGAGTTCAATCCCCAGTACCAAAAAAAAACAACAAAAAAACAACCCCCCAAAAAACCCAACATGTGGCCATAGGATGCAAGACAGTAACCAAAGTCAGCTGAAGCGTATCAAATTGAATCCATTTCCTGTTTTACGTGATGGTTTGCTTACTAAACCAGAGGAGAATGATGTGGCAGTGCTGGTATGTTTGGCTTTAGTGAAGTATTTCACAGTTTCTTAAGACATGATTGCCCATATTAAATCATAAGTAGTCAAATAGGGGCTGGTGGTGTTATTAATTTAATTTGAGAATCCTGTGCAAACGCTCTTAATTACTGGCGCAGAGTCAGTCCGGAAGGGGATCAGAAAGCAGTGCCACAGGGCTGTGTTCCTGGCTTGGATTAGGGTTGGGGTGGTTGAGGATGTAGAAGGTTTGTCTGATTTATTGATGGCACAGATGAGGAGGATTGCTAAGTAGATAAGCCAAAGTCATCTAGAATGAGGAGCTCAAATTAAGAAGAAAAATAAACTGGGCGTGGTGGCTCATGCCTGTAATCCCCAGCTAATTGGGAAGCTGAGGCAGGAGGATTGCAAGTTGGAGGCCAGCTTGGGCAATTTAGTGAGACCCTGTCTCCAAATAAA